AAACAAGTTAGCCTGCAATTTTAGGTTACACAAATGTTTATGAAATTCTGACATAAAACAAAAACTGGTATACAACCTGCAAAAGCTCAGGCACCTCGCGATAGTAAAAGAGCATACAGCAGAGAGACTGACAGCAAGAGCAGCACTACTACCCAAGCCAAGAAGACAGAAGACTCCTGCTCTGGTCTAGAGGAATGAAGCAGAAAGGGTGTGGTGACCATAAAGACACAAGTGGGCAAAGGCCTTTTTTAAGCTCCTTGTTCTATTGAAAACCATATTTCAAGACAGATTTTTACAGTTGCATTTAGAAAACCTGCATTCAACATGTGTAAAATTTCTTAAGGAAATCAGAAACTATGCATCTTTTCATAGTATTTGTGTGCAAACACCATCAAGTAATAATCTTCCCAAATCACACTTAACACTGCCCTTTGCTTTAGGAATTGGGACAAATCTTGGAAATAAACTAGTGAAGTCACAGACTATTTTCCATTTGTTTTAGGGGAAACAGAGCTTGACCTTTACATGCAACTTGAAAGAGATATCTGTGCCCCTACTGCTCTGAACAGCTCTGTCACTTAGGTATCCATAACTGCACACAGCTTATGAGTTAGAATATAAATATGACTTCAGGGACAGTGTAATGTGAAGTGCAGCATAGCAGATCACTGCTAAGAAGCAAACAGCAAATTAAGAACGGATACCAATAAAGTTAAAATAGAAGTGTTCTGTCAATTCAGAAAAATATGAAAACACTCCAGAATTACAAATAAAATACTTGGAGTTCTATAGGGTCAGACGCAGGACTGTTTCTTGTGAAAATAATAGCTGGGTCTGATGTGCATTTGAAAATGTTACATAAGCAAGTGATCTGTCTTACAACAGCTACCACTATCTCTACTTTTCAAGTAACAAGGCTAATACAAATCGTGGCTTTTATGTGAAGCTACTGTACTTCCAAACCTTGCTTTTTAAATACCAAAGTCAGAAACTGACTAACTCCAAAGCGAGTATCAGCAAGGTGCTGCAGAGGCTCCTTTGCTAACTAATCCAGCAAGGTCAAAGAAGGTTTAATCACTGTATAATGATTTTAAGAGTTTTGCTTAGTGAACCATTACAAGCCCTGCATTGTCATTGGGAGAAACTGCAGTGAAGGGAGAAAGGTGCTGTTTATTCCCTCTTCTACCTGTCCTGTTGTTCAGCAAGCTCAGCAGAAACAGAAAGCAAGCAGGCAGAGTACATGTTCAACAGAAGACCTTTGAAGAAAGCATTCCGAGATAATCCCTATGGTTCCAGATAATTACAGATATCTCACAGGTTCAGAGGCATTAAAATGGCTATCATGCTCCAGCGACCGATGAAGGTTATAGCTTACATCAGTATTTGACAGAGAAATTTCTTTACATGAATGTTTAAAAGATAAACAGAAATAATTTGCCAGTACCTGAACAGGTGATCTTTAATAGCTATAGTCTTTTTCTAAATAGAGCCCCTGGGGAACATAAAGTGAGGTAAAGCCCTTATCCCCCCCATATGCATCTGCTGCCTTCAAATAATGATTTGTTTGCTCAAGATAGCAGCTGCAAAAGCAGCGTGGTAAGCTTCAACTTTTCAGTGCTAGAAAATAATTATTGTAAAATCAGGCAGATATGAGGCATCCAGGTTACCCAGGGAACGGGAACATTAAGACAAATGGTTGTTTGGTTGCTTTCTTAAAGAAAAATAAATAAATAAATAGTGTTCCACCTTTTTCAGAGTTCTGCTCTTGAAACACATGACCTATCTTGAAGGACCACACAACAAAATAGTGTTATCTTATTTCAGGGTTCTGGTGTCTTTGGTTTTTGCTTTGGGGTTGCTAAAGAAAAGGAGGGAAAAAAAAAGTGCAACTTGAATACATTTTCCATCATTTTATTGCTTCGTGGAAAAGCCTTGTGAAGTTTAATGAAAAACATTTTAACCTTTATTGAGTATATAAGTGCCACAAACACTTTTTTGATTGAAGAACTCAGGGCAGATATACAAGAGAGGACCAAGCTCATCCATAGCACCTGCATGTCCATCTGCATGGACACCTAAAAAGGGTTAAGTATTTTCTGGGTTTACAGAAACTGAAATAAAAATCTCATCTTTCTCTCCTTTCTTGATTCTCTTCCAGGCCTTTGAATGGCTCGCTTATCAGGGTACCGTAAATTCACTAAAAACTAAGTAAAAGTCAGAGTCCAAACCAATTAACATTCAAGGCTTTTCCACTCTGTCAGCTTAAGAGATAACTACACCCCATGCTGGCAGAAGTCAGAGTCACCAGTTTGTTATCCTTCTCCAGACCATGAAGGATTCCCTGTCTTCTGGGCTCTGAAAGGAGCCCAGGGCACGACAGTCTAATCCTAAATGCCTCTGGCTCATGTGGCGCACTGGACCCTTTCATCTTCTACTCACAGTACAGATTCCTGCCATACCACTGGCTGAATCAAACCTCCCCCACAGCTAAGCAAAACTGAGAAAGAACAGGAATGTTGCTTTCCATTGCCCTCGAGGCTGGTCAGGACCAGACACACAGCCACAGCTTACCCACCTTCCCTGCTGGCAGAATGCTACTGTTCACCTTAAAGAGGTTCTGCTGCCTTAATTCAGTCTCAAGGGTTTCTCCTAATACATGCATAAAAATATGAAGCAACACATATTCAAAAGCCCTAACAAACCTAATTAAATAGGCCACAGCAAACTAGTTCAAAAGCTAATTGGGAGTGACTTTCACGTCCAAGCGTTCCAAGGTGTCAGCATCTGGATTCCTCAAGCTGGGCAGAGAAGAGTTGGCGCAAACATCTGGGTAACTGATGCTGCTGAGAACACTACAGCTAGAGTTCTTCTGGGGAGGGTGCAGAGGCTTAGGGAACCAGATGGAAGCAGATCTACAGCTGATCCTTTTTATTCCTCACTTGCTACTGCTTCCAGTGCTGAGGGACAGTTGAACACTGCAGCAATGCTCACAGACTTCCCCGGGGTAGGAAGATGGAGCAGGCAGCTCGTCTTTAGCTTTGTGCACCAAAACAATTCAAGTTTGGGATTTCTGGGTTCACTCAAGCAGGCTGTGATGGAGACACTTTCCCTTTCAAAAGAGAAAGGAAATGCCCACTTAGATGAATCACTAATTGTAGACTGTTATTGGACCAGGGAAGTTACCTGTCCCATGCCAACTACAGTGTTACAGCTGTAGTAACTGGATATCCCTGCTGCACACAGATGGACCTGGCAGGGTTAAAGGACATGTTGCATGCACATGGTGTTCCAGTTTGACTGCTAACTGCAGATGGCAGAGGACATTTTCAGTCTCACTACTGCAACACCAGAGAAATTTTCCAACGCTGCACAGGAGAGATTTCCTTCTACAGAACACCAACTTTGCTAGGGTTAAGTCAGTAGTTTGTTACAGGAAAAGGCATGTTGCTACTTCAACCAACAAGGGGTAGGCATGAGAGAGAGAAGGAAGTAATAAAGGAAGTGAAACAGTGATAAGAGGTCTAGGGCAATCATGCTGCCGTGCATTGTTCAGAAGATGCATCTAGCCTCATCACACAAGGCAAAAAATCCAAATCCAGCTCCAAGTCCAGCCTTCAAGAGAAGTGAGGTCCGGGTCCACAGGTTTTTCTCCCTTCTCAGGATACAACATTCCTTTCAGAGCAAGATATCAGCAATATATCTGTATTTTCTCCATGGCTGCCACATCTTCAGCACATTTCCACGATACCCTGCCACCCCTCCTCTGTGATGCATCTGTATGGCTCATCCTTCCTCACATGAGCCATGGCTTTTTTCAATATTGCTTTATATATCCACCACCTTAGGTCTCCCATTTGCTCTGCTCCCCATGGCACTATATTCAGCAGCCTTTTTCAGCATTCTCCATCTGTAAGATTTGCTTAAAGTCACTAACTTGGGCCAGTTGAAGTTTTTCCTTTTCCATTCTGGGCAATTGTTATAGCCCTTTTATGTTTGGAAATGCAAGCAGTGTAGAAGGCAGGATAAAGCAAATTTCTTTAAAACTTTGACTGATTAGAATTTTAAAACATGGTATTATTACTTCTGGCTTTTGTTCAAAAAGCTAAGGTTAAAGACAAGATGGAGACAGACACCTCAATCATCATTAGTGTGCCACACCGTGCCAAATCAAACTGACCACTATATCCTTTAAGCACTATAGAACATGCTCTTTATATAACCCTAATACAAAGAAGGCACAGCACCCCTATGCCTGAACACTCCAAGCATTCCAGAAACAAGCTTTGGCTCTGTGAAAGACCAGGCTTTTCTCAGAGGAGGGATAGGTAACAGGACCTTCAGAGCCGCAAATGAAAGCAGCAGAAATATATTATGGTTCTTTATTTCTCATTAGTACACAGAGGAAAAAAAATAAATAGGTCAATTTACTTGTTTCCTTTTGTTCTCCTTAAAACTAACAGATGTATTTAGCACTATCTGGCAGAAAGTTTTATCTTTAACAGAGCAAGACTGCTGGCCAAAAAATTCATGCTCAGTAAGACTATGACATCAAAAAGCCAGGTTCCAAGTTGCACTAAGCTCGTTTCACTTAACCAGACTGGGTAACTGGATTTTCATAATTTTGTTAGAAGGCTCCATCAAGCAATACCCACATTTGCCTGGCATGGCTGTGGTCCTGCAGCCTTGTCACTTGCAAAAGGAGGAGGATTCACTACCACAGTTCTAACATGTTCCTGAGTGCTCTGCATTCAGAAAGTCCAGTCCTTTCTGTCACATTTAGCACTTGTCAGAACCTTCTGTACACTTCTCCAATCCACCAGAATTGCAGAAAGCTGCTCACCTGAGTGGGCACAGATTTGGTATTGGATGCCTGAAAGCAAGGCTAGACTGGGCAGAACTCTCTCAATACCAGGGAGCTATTATGTTCTGCAGGGTTTTGACTGCAATGTTTTGACCTGATTTGAGATTTTGACAGAAAAATCATCTCAGCCAGTACTCACCTTGCATCATACTCCTGTAGGCTGTGTCTGTGATAGCATAGATGTGAGGGGGCATCTCATGCCTCTTTTTGCCTTTGTACATTTCCACTATTTCTTCTGAGTATATGGGCAGGTTCTTGTAAGGATTGATTACTACACAGAACAGGCCTGAATAGGTCTAGAAGAAACAACAACAACAAAAATCAACAAAAAAGACAAGAATTAGAATTCCATATACTTGTGCCTTTTAAAAGTACATTACTTGAAAAAAGTGTTTTTCTTTAAGCATTTTTTCCACTGTAGCCACGGGGATGCTTCCCATTAAGCAATCCTAGAGTCTGCTCAGCAGCTAGAATCATATTCATTTGGGTGCTCAACCTTTCCAAGTATGCATAGAACATCAACTGACAGATTAGTCACACTGGTATCGCACGTCTATTCAGTGGCTAATTAAGAGTCCATTAGGGTGGCTTTTCCTCTCCTCAAAGATCTCATATCCAAGTTAAGTGTCTATTTTGCTGGATATGGTAGTGCTCAGCTCCAAAAAACACATTACTTTGTGTGCTTCCTCACATTTGTTAAAGTCTACTTGCTACAGGTTTGTCCAGTAATTATTCAACTACAACATAGTAAAACTTTATGAATTAACAAATCAGTTTTCTTTTGACCAAAAATACTACAGCTGATGCAGGGAGACAGCAGGTACTTGTTCTCTTTCATGGGTAGCACTCGTATTAGCACCGTGTACAACGTTTTGTTGTCTATACACAATTGCTTTCATAGTAAGTGAGATTGCTAAATAGGGGAAAAAACAGATAAGAGCAAACTTAATGATGTACAAACATCCAATCGATTTTTAAGGTCGCAACATATTCCTTGAGTAAGAGGCAGAATTATTTCTTTTTAGTCATCTCCCTGCTCAGTTGCAGTCACTCTGTAGCAAATAAGCTGGACACTTCCTTCTCTGGGAGAAACTAGGTGATTTTTTTTTTCTTCTATGTGGCAATTTTTTTCCCCACATATTTATTCAATGAAGAGTTGCTCCTCTCTCCTGCTCTTTTAGTCAGAACACTACTCCAGTGCAGAGCATCCAGCCAGAATAGTTCCTATGAGGAAAATTAAGACTAATTATGACTATTCTTTGGGGGGTTTCAAATCCATTGGACCAGTCTGGACTCAGTGTTGACACAGCTTTGAACAGGTGGTACTAGGTGAACTTCCAGCCCGAACACTTCCATGATCTATATGTAGCAAACATAATGAGAACTGTATTCAAAACTGGAAGGCCATTAATGCAGTATAGTTCTGAATGGATCAATATATAAAACAACAAAGTATTCCATGTTCAAAAAGTCAGGAATACTTGCTGAAGTTTACTTTTAATTCATCTCAAAGGACAGTTTATTAGATCTGCAACAGCAAACCTTGATTTCTCAGCTGAAAGCCACTAGCTTTAATTCTACGGTTTTCAGGCTGGACAACTGTCAAAATGCTTTCACTGAAAGCATCAAGCCTACATACACATACATACACACACATATATAAAAAAAAGCTGCAACAAAGATAAGAAACAGCAAGTTGATAGATCTTTGAGGTCTGGATACTTTTAAAAAAAGGAAAAAAAGAAAATACAAACATTTTACTTGCAACAGAAATAGCAACATCATAAGATTGTTAGAATTTTTAAGAGCAGCATTCCAAGCCTGGCTCCCCGGATTTAGAGCTATCCCAGTCCCTGTCAGTTCCAGAAATTGCCATTCATAACATCTGGATACCAGCAGCTTTCTTAAGCAACTTGCAGTGCTACCAGAAAACAGTATTTTCTATTGCTGCCATCTTACTTGCTCCACAAAGACTGTTTCAGAGTTGTAAAGAGTTCTCCACAATGAGCATTTAAGACATAGCCTCTTCGGGTAAAGATTAGACCACAGTAATCATAAGGATGAAAAGGGCATCTATTACACAGTTCACGGTCTTAAACGCAAGTTCTCTGTGTGCTGACAGCACACTCAATACACAGAGCAGATTCACAGCAAGTAATTCAGGCACAGCTTTCACCCCAGCTCCCCCAGAAATCTTATTCTTTACAGGGATTCAAAGCTTCCTTTCCCAGACCCCAGTATAAACTACCAGAAAAGACTTCTAGGATTCTTTTTACATTTTTTATATTTTTTATATTTGAGGATTGCCTGAGCAGCTTTCAAAGAAGGTTAAATTTCTTTCTGAAGATGTAATCTATAGAAGTTAGATAAATGCATTTTGGCATAAGGCTTTTAAAGCTCTGGGAAACTAAACTTCAGTAAGACACCCTAGTCAGGTTTGAGATATTACAACAAATAAATAAAAATGCAGTACACGCTTTCCTTATGCTGGCATGAGAACAGCTGACATTGGAGTCAACTGAACTTTTAGAAGAAAGCATGCAATTTCATCTGAGTGCTGCAGAACAAAAAGAAAAACCCTCTAGGCTGCCAGTTTTCCAGTTGTTAACATAAACAACCGTCTTACAGCTCATCCCATGACAACAGCTACGTGCACGTAGTATTTGGAAGAATATGTCCTACTTCGCCTCTCTTCATTCCTCCCCACCCCCCATAAAACTGTACCTCATGCCATAGACCAAAGCTTCCCCCTCCCTTGAGGAAATGAAGTTAAATGCATGTTTCCTTCTTTTGGGGCAGTGGCTGCGTGTGCTTCAAGAAAGGAGAGTGGAAGAGTGACAGCAACTAAGATAGGAGCAAGTAACATTCAACAGGAATGCAAGCACAAGAGGAGCTTGAATTTGTGTTTTTTTTCTAATGAAGGAGATCCAATATTTTTCAAGTGAGACTAGTATGAAGGTCTGATGCTGGACTGAAGCAGTCTGCCATACAGGAGAACAGCAGTTTAGAAAGAGGGAAGCATTAATGCCATCACACTGCTGAAGCCACAAAGCAGAGATGCAGAAGGAGGCCAACACCTTCTAGCACTCCTGCTTCCCACCTGTGTTTAGCAAACTCAAACCGAGACAAGAGTGAGGTGATGCTGTGTCCAAAAAAGACAGGCAACAAATCACGGTTGGAAGAGGTAAGTGAGTAAGAACACCATGTGGAGATGGCTGGTCAAGCGCCCTGGCAGAGCCATGTGCAGGGAGCAAGCTGAATTATGGTGAGCACAGGCTGCCAGCCCTACCACAGACAGGGCAAGAGTCATCCCCATCTTGTCAAATAAAAATAAAGACTTGGGTGCATAAATCCCTTAACTGGACGCAAGGTTCCAGTTGAAAGGATAATCTAGTGCAGACATAGCTGGCTTCAAGATCTGTATTTTCCTTCAGACATTACTACGTCAAAACAGAATTCTGGCATTACACCTTTCACTGCTATTTCCAAGGACACACAGGGCAAACAGGGACTGGTTTTATTTTTCTAATGGCTACACTAGCTCTGAAGAGCTGGGAGGACTGTCTTCAGCATGGGACAAAAAGCTGGCTGCATCAAAACAATTATCTTCTAGCATCTGTTAATTCTGATGAAATTGCTGAAACATGCAAGACTGACATTTGAGTTTTATGTTGAATCCCAAAGAGGCAGTTAAGAATATTTATGTGGTTTATCTAAAAGCATTCAGAATAGAAAGGGTTAATATGAAAGTTGATCTATAAGGAAGTCGCCACTGCACAGAACCAATCAGCAACTGGGAACAGCACATCAGTGGGGCAGACTGAAGATCTCAGTTCCTCAAATGTCTGACACCCTGCTCCAAATTTCCCTGCTCTGGCCTTTAGAGTTGCCTCCTCCTTTTATAAAATGGATAGACATAAAAATGTGATTAAAAAACTCCTGCTGGCAAGAAAGAGAGTTTAGTTCTATTCTTGGCCTTTCTATGTTTATAATCTTGCCAGAGCTCTTTATGCTAGAGATGCATAAAGACCTTTCCATGTATTCTCCGTCTTCAAAAGGATTAGCGATCAAGCGACAGCCACTCCAAATAAAGTGTTTTAGGCTTCATGCTAATCTTCCGACTTGCTGAGAAATGCTGACAGGTGAGATGTGGCCATTTCACAAGCAGATGAAAATGCTGTTTTAGCAAGATTAAGATTCTGTAATAAAGCATTACTGTGTTTTGGTATACAGCACTGAAGGGTGAAAGGCCTTTTTTATCATCTTCCTTATATTCCAGTTAGAAGAATTCAACTTATTACCATCACAGACCATTCAGAGGATGTCTTGCAAGACATGTGAAACAACCCACTCCATAGTGCAATAGACTTTAAGATGATGTTGAAGTGTTTTCAGCAACTTATTACATAATCTGCCAATGTTTCCTGTTCTCGAAGTGTTGCACATCCTATTTCATCACAGTGCAAAGATGCTTCCCTCTGATTCTAAGTGCAAGTTGTTAAGCTCAGCCCTAAAACACTGTAAATAGATTTGGACTAATGGTCCGAGGAGTTATTCAACAGCATAGAAAAACTAACTGCGACAAGCAGCAGCATGCACATTATGTCTCATAAGTTTGACATTGGCAAGGGGAATTCGGACTAAATTTATACGAGCCTTGCATCATCCTCTGATGACTGATGCAGCAGTTGTCTATATACTTCTGTGCCACTCCAGAAGAACAGCAGTCACAACATTAGCCAGATCCAGAGTTTCCATGCTCCTTAGCTTAAAAGTTCACAGAGGCTTCTACGAGAAATGGACAGTTAGGGGGAAACCCTGCTATGTGCTGCCCCAGACATCATTAGTCCCTGCCAGGGATCATTTGTAACTTACTACAGAAGACAACTAGGTAAAAGACCATCTCTCCCTTTCTGTTCAACGAGCTATTAAGCATAATTAATATATATATGTGTATATTATATATACACCCATACTTGCAGAGCATAAATGAGCATGCATTTTATGCTTACTCTGCACTACATATATTGCAGATACTTTTTACTTGTGTTAGCTTCTCCAAATGTCAAGAGGAAAAAAAAAAAAAAAACCTACACATGCTTTCCTTCCAAGACTGCATTAATATATGTATACATATCAAATGCATTCTTTAATATGTCTTATTTTAAGGCCATTGTAATCTACTACAAAGATTTCCTATAGTGCCTGGAATTACTCATTAATAGGCATTTCTACATCCCCCAGGATTCCAGCATAGGCAACGCCATTTTGATTCTGATTTTGATCTGAAGGATCAAACAGATTTGTTTGAGGGAGGACATATAAAACTGGAACATGTCACTTGGTGAAAGTAGTAACTGCATCAAGATTTTACATTATCACTAAGCTTAGTGATTCATTCCAGGTAAGTAGTAGTTATGGGGACAGACATCTGTTAGCTAAACACAGACCACATGAGGAAGAAAAATCAACAGGAAACTGGAGAACCAAAGTTCCAAAACCTCCTTCACCCCATTTATGCATTTTGATATCTTAATGAGATTTATTGGGTATGAATGTTGGCCACATACAGATATGATAGCTATATATCAGGCCTGTGGTTTTGTTACTGTTTGGTTCAGTTCAGACCAGACTTCCTGTTTATCCCTTTCCGATAGCTCTCCTTTTTACCAAAAGCAAGTTAAATGATATTCAAAACATATTCAGCAAATGAAGATATTACAATATAAAGGCACATTTACCACGGCATTTCTTTAAAGTTCCAACATTAACTAGAATGAGATTGGCATAGTTTAGTGAAAAATTCTTATACAGAGGGAAGCAGCTAAGTCATGTGAGAGTTTTGTATGTAAACCTTTCATTGCTTTTGTACAAGTGAGAAGCAAATTCACATACTGTATAGTCAGGAACCTTTCCCCGGTAGAGAAGATGATTACTTACGTAGATCAGTCCAGAGTAGTACCTCTCCTTCAAGTTGTGAAGCACAGAAGCCTCATTCAGGCATGTCAGCTCTGCCATATCTTCCACCTTAGAGAATTTGGGAGGGTTCATCTTCTGGATGTCATCCTTATTTATTTTCACTTTCTTCCCATTCTCTGCCAGTTCCACAATGGCCTCATCGCCTACTTCTTCCTTCAGGCTAGCTGCCTCAAACCCATTCTTCTCCGAGGGAACCCATACCAGCTTCTTGGCTGCCCAGTCAGCCTGAGTCAGGGGGTTGTTAATTATGTTTTTGTCCACATAAAGGTACTTATCTGCATCTCTTTGCGCCATTGTGTTCTGCAATTAGAGACCTGTACAAGAGAAAAAAAAAATTAAAGACTGTTAAAGCCTGCCAAGAGGATGCAAAAAAACAAACTTACAAATTATTAAAAGACCAATAAGCATTTGGAAGCCATTATTTGGCAGACTTTTTGCTACAGCTTTTAGATGAGCTTTCAGCACTCTAGTCGGTACAGATACTAGCTCAGGAATACCATATTAAGTGTTTAATCAGCTTTAGAGTTGACTTCCTGTTGCTTTGTTCTGATAAGCAAGGAATCAAACATCTCAGCTCCTTAGAAAGGCCATATACCAGTCTAGACAACACACAAGATGCACCTTGCTCCTAAGAGATACTGTAAATAATGCGAAGAGACCAGTTAAAACAGACACTAGATACTTTCCATTGCCAGGCTGGTAGCAACATTCAGCCCACCACTCAGTATGTGTTCTCTAGTCCACATTCAGCAGCCAAACACCTCAAAGACACTTTGACAGGAGAAAAGTGTGGTCAGGAAATTTTGCAGACACACAAAAAACCAACAAAAAAACACAGAGGGGTAGAGGAGGGGGGCATCACCACTAGAAGGGGGAGATTGAGAGCACACTCAGAAAATGGCACATGGGGTTTAGTGTTTCTTCAAAGCCAGAACACTGCTGCCAAGAGGCCTCCTGGTTACAGGACAGCAATTTTGCTGGTGCCATCCAGAAATCCTTTCAGTCAATAGAAGGGACTGCATGTATCAAGGCTCATTAACCAGCTAACAGCAGGCTCTTTATAAGGTCCCATAAACATGAGTGCTCAGATCCTTCTTCACAAAGGTATCACTGTCCTTAATATATATATTTTAATAATCTACATAGACCATAGAGCTCTACCAGCAAAAGGAAAGGAATGGAAAAGCAAATGTTAATATTCATGTCATGAAAGGCTGTCAGGAGTTACAGGGGTAACATTTCTGCAGAACATACTCATATTTGCAAATGAGTTTGCGAATCAAATGGGTGAAGTTTGACTGCAGATACCCCAGACAAAGACTACTGAGGGCAGGACAGAAGCCGTATCTGTGAAGCCAGAAAAACATCAGCTATAATAAAACTGTGTGCAGATCCC